AAAATTAAATCCTGGATCCGCTTGTGTATAGAAGTGAATATAGGAGTAATGACATATAGCTGGGGCTATTGCATGAAGTTCTGCGGTGTATATGCTCTTAATTTTAATTTATGGTGTTTTATTTTATGCGTGGAGTTATGGGTAACAAAGGAAGAACCTGTAGCAAAATGTGTTATGAAATGTTTTCTTTAAATCAAGTTTGTTTTAAATATTTTTTTTTGTTTTGCCTATAACAGAAATCATTTTAACTTAATTCAATGAATAGAGGAGTCAAGGTAATCCATGTTTCTACAATCCAAATTTCTAATAATCTTTTATACAGTTTTTTTAATTCTCTAAAGATCTTTTCAAAATTATAAAAACGTTTTCAAATGTTTGTAAGGATAATATGTATTTATTTTTTGATTCTACTAAAAGAAAAAAAAAAGTTTGGCTGAGAAACCATAATGAGTCAATGAAAAGGCCTTTATTCTACCCTTCTTATGGCAAAATTAAATGCATTATCTAGGAACTATAAAGGTCTGAATGAACTAGGAATAGGTACCATCACTGTGTATTGATTAGAGATAAGACCTCCTCTAATTTAACTGGAAAACTAAAACTGCTACGATGTCTAGAAAGCCAACGAATTTAAAAAATTGGTTTTTTATTTTGTCATATTTAATTTAAAACATTTCCAAACATTCTTCGAATAATCTAAGGAGGTGGGAGCTGGTGTCATCTAAGACTCCAATGTAAATATTCGTAAAAAAAAATAATATTGAACACTATACCCAACAAGTTGAAAAAATTTGTTTAATCAAGGAAAATTATATAAAATTTGTCTTCTTTAACTAAGAAAAGAGTAGAGAGAAATACTTTATTGAAAGTAGTGCTTACTTACTTACTCCTCGGCGCTATAGTCCGCGTGGGACCTTGGCCTTCTCAACAATACGTCGCCACTCGTCTCGGTCCATTGCGACAGCCCTCCACCGCCTGACACCAAGCTGTCTCAAATCCGCCTCAACATCCTCCAGCTAACGGAGTGGTGGCCTTCCTCTCCTTCTTGCTCCTCCAGATCGCCCATACAATATTTTCCTCGGTACTCGGTGCGCTACCATCCTTTCCACATGCCCTAACCATCTTATTCGTCCTGCCTCAATGACACTTATGAGATCTGCGTCCCTGCAGAGTTGTCGCAACTCCCGATTGTATCGTTACCTCCAAACACCTTCTTCGCATACGGGCCCGTAAATCTTCCTAAGAATCTTACGCTCCCACACTCCAAGAGCCATCTCATGTTTTGCTGAGATAACCCACGTCTCGATTCCGTATGTGACTACCGGACGAATCAATGTTTGTAGTGCAATGAAGTGTAGCAAAGAAAGTAGTGTTGCCCTACTATATAGGGTTACTTTTTACACAGCATACTGATCAATCCATATGGACATAGCTCTTACATCATATTATTCCATTATTATACAAACATATCATTTTTTTATCCCTTTTCACTACACTAGTCCATATACTATATAATTAACAATACCACATTAAAAAATTACCATTATATAATACATATATTTTATGAAAATAAAAAATAAAGTATCCGAATGCTATAAATACAAGATTGAATCGCACACATATACCAACGCAATAGACAGAAAGATAAGACAAATTTAAAAAATCAAAATTAAGTAAATAAATAGATAAATGACAAAGGACACCCTAAATTCACAGTCAATTGCTAAACAAGTTATAGTGGATGATCCCTAGGGAGACCAGAATAATATTCTCGGCCAATATCGCAAGCTCTCCAACACCAACACCTAGTTCCTCGAGGAAGCCCATTGTTCTTTTTGGGATCATTCCACGAGACCCAAACCAGAAGCCTCTTAGAGTGAACTCTCTCTCTCTCTTTCTCCGAAGGTCTCACAGAACTTCTCATTTAGGAAACGGATACATTTATCGTATATTTTTCTTTTCTCTTTTCACTTCACCTGCCTGATCGAGGTCATTGCTCTCAAAGCGGACAGTTGGATCCAAGATCAGAGCTGTCTTTCCTGTCCTGGAAAATGCAACAATGTCCGCATACCTGGCTTCACTGTCGATGCAATAGACTCGTTGAAGCAGGTGAATTTTTTTTCTCTAAGAAGCCTCAGCAATTCAAACTTGACTCTATGGTGCCGGCATGTTATGAGAAGGAAGTTATTGAGGCATTTTCTCAGCACATAGGCTGGTGTTTCAGACTCTCTGCCGCACTTACGACAGAGAGACCCAACTTCCTTTGACTGTACCCTGGCTCCTAGGACTCCACGCAAAGGTGCGTAATTGATGTTGAGTTTTAAGGCGTTGGCCCATTCTGATCCCGAAAGCACTTTCTTTTGGTATGTATATTTATTAATTTTCAGGGTTTCTTTAAAATGCAGAACTCCACCACATTACCACCTGCAGCTAGCCCATTCTTCAAAAGAATTTTCTCTTAGCGACTGTCATAGAACTCTCATATTTCGGTGGACCTGATCCACTCCGTCTTTCTACGATTTCCACATTATAATCAAATGTGGACTGGAACAGGGCATCCGGTACATTGAACAGTCGCTGGGCAATGGACTAATGCTGCAAAGGAGCCTCCCATTGACAGCGGATCAGTTCAAATAATCGATATTTATGAAGCCCTCATAAATACATGTTAGAGTGCTATAAGTCTCTTCATTAGTTAGATCTATTCCAAATGAGTTATTTCTGAAATAAATTATTTCATAACTATTATTTCAGAATTATTTATTTCATAAATACATTATTGCAAAAATCAAGATAAATTTGCAACAATAAATATTTCAGAAATAACATAAAAAATTTACCAATATGCACCATGTTTTTGGAGTATCTTTTTATGAAAAGTGTCGAATTTGAGATTGCGCCCCCCACCCACCAGCATCGACTTATTGTAAATTTTCGGATTTAATCGATATCAGAGTCGCAATCTCAAATTTGACATAACTTTTATAATTAGCGCCCCCTTAAACATAATAGTCGACCCTGATATCGATTATATCTGAAAAGTTACAAAAAGTCGATGCGGGGTGAGGAGGGGGGTGGCGCAATATCAAATTCGACAGTATTTTCATAAAAAGCTCCCCCGAAAATATAATAGTCGACCCTGATATCGATCAAATCCGAAAAGTTACATAAAGTCGATTCTGGAGGGTGTGAGGGGCTTAATCTCAAATTCGACCGTATTTTCATAATAACCTACCCCGAAAATATTATAGTCGAACCTAATATCGTTTATATCAGAAAAGCTACAAAAAGTTGATGTGGGAGGGGGGGGGCGCAATCTCAACTTTGGCATTATTTTTATAATAAGCGCCCCCGAAAACATAACAGTCGATCCGGATATTGATTATATCTGAAAAGTCATGTGTGAATGAATTATATCATTATTCCTGAAATAATTTATTCTAGAAATAATCATTTCGGAAATAATGGTCAGGTTATTTCATGAAATAAATGATTTCGGAAATAACTATCCAGGTTTATTTAAGGATTTATTCCGGGAATATTTTTCAAATAAATTCTGCTCAGGTCTATTCCAAAGTAAGGAGTGTAATTAAATGCAGTACAAAATAATGCACTCTAGATGTATAGAATGTACTTAAAAACTTCAGTTGCACATGTCAAATGTAATTTTAAAGATTTATATGTTACTCCAAAGGTCGAAAAATGCTGCTATTTAACCAGTCAGATTCAAAGAAATCCTGTGGTTTCATGGAGAATGTTTTGTGAGCTATTTAAGCCTTGCCAAGCTTGCAGTCCCCTTAATTACTAGACAATTTTAGGTCAGTGATTTTCAAGGGTTAGTGAAAAAGGCTTTTATCAGTGTTAAGGTTATATTGTTTTCTTAAGTGTCAATTATATTTCCATTTCTGTATACAAGACCTCTCCTAAGGATTGTATTTTAAAATAATAATTTAAACTATTATACGCGTGCAATTACTTTTATCATTAGACATCTGTCCTTGTTCTTAATAAATTCAAAGAATAAGTGATATTAGGGGAACATTTTAGTACATTGAAAAAAAAAATTATTATCTAAAAAAGTCTATTCAACAAACATAATTGGTGAAGCTCCATACTTTGTAATGACCATTTTCAAATAACAGTTTACTGGTTATTGGCTTACCTGACTGAAAATTATATCTTCACAGTTTAGCAATAAAAGTGAGCTAATTGTAAACTTATACTACCCGAGTATTGTACTGGCTGAGACTTATTGGGTTGGCGTAGAACAGCTTTTGTTATTAGTTAGTCCTCTCACTTATGAGTGCCACAATGGCAATATTTCCATTCAAGAAAATCAAAATGTTTCTACAAACTGAGTTTATTTTTATTAAAAATATCAGTGAGTTTCTTTCTACATCATCCGAAGTACTCAAGGGATCTTAGAGATGTTCTACATCGTTCAACTTTTCAATAGATTTATTTTAATTTTTAAAACATAAACATGTGATAAGAAACTCATAGCAATCATGACGTGAAGGAGACTATAGGCAAGGATTACAGTTTATTTCGAAAACGATACATTTTAGGACTTAAACACAGGGTCTGATATATTCCAAGAGATCTTACTGGGCCTTTATTTAAGCCTATAAATCTTAACAACACAACACAATTTATCTCATCTCAACCCTTCGACTTACCTTTTGAAACCTTCTACTTTTTCAATGTTTTTTAAAAGGTTATAACACAAATTTAAAGATTGGGATTTATCATTTCTCTTGGAAATTCAATATCATTCGACACCCTGTTTGCCAAAATCCAATTTCCATTGTTGAGAGCTGGAAAAGGGATCTATACTGCCATATTATATGTATTGTAGATTGTAATTCATTGATAACAATAATCAATAATAATTTTTAAATTTTAATTGTTTTAAAATCAAAACTACCTCGAAGATTATCATCTTCGGCAAACAACAAAATACATAATATTATTAAATTTGGTACCTGAATAGGAACAAATGAAATATGTAACATAATAATATATTTGTGTATATATTCACATGTACCTTATAAGAATAATGAAATTTCGAACTAGATAACAAAAGATATATTTTTCACAAATGTAGATAAATATGAAATGGAACATTATTTTATTATATAATATAATATCTTTAAAAGAAAATAATAAATGTATAACAATATATTTAATATTCAATATATATATATATATATATATATATATATATATATATATATATATATATATATATATATATATATATATATATATATTTATATATATATATTTAAATAAAGCTGATAATTACATAATAACTTTAAAAATTAATTTTATTTTCATATATTCATTTTATTTGAGCATTTTATTAATGTCTTTGGACTGTTTTTTTAACGAACAGTCAGCCTTTTCTGATTTGTCAATCACTTTTTCAATAAGATCATTTTGGGATGTTATTTCTTCTCCAAGGTTATATCCTAAATCTGAAATAAATAAATAAAAATAACAAATTAACAAAATAATTACAAAATCAAAATAAAGTCAGTATGTAAATAGAGGGAAAGACAAGGAGAGACCGGATACTTAACACAATTTAGAATACACTCAAAAGTGAAATCTTCAACCAGATAATTAAGAAAGGGCAGCTTTGATGGTTTGGTCACGTAATGAGGATGGATGATTGCTGTTCAAACATAAGTTGAAAATCAAACGTTATTTGTAATTGAATGGCCAACAATAACAAAAAAGTCCAAAAATGAAACATCTGGAGTAACATTTTTCTTTCCAAATCACTGATTACTTTTTTAAATATTTGAAATGATTTTTAATTTTTTTTTAAAGACTACTTCCTGTATTCTATACTGAGGACGTTTAAGATGGCCTCTATAGTAAAAAAAAAAAATAATTATAATAATAAAACTTAATTAATTTAAATAGGTTGCAATTTAACATTTTTAAAATATATTTATGAATTCATAGAGGTTCATTAATAAATTTTATGTATTTCCAGAAATCAATCATATTATTATCTTTTTTATCAATTGAAATATATACTTCATCTAAAATACATATAATGAATAGCTATCGCACTGTTTAGCACAATCATGAATAAAAAATTATGCCTGCTTCATCAGCCATGCGTGCTCTTGCAGTCCAATATAATTTTGCTCTCCTAGCATAAGGGCTGTACATTTCATTAAAGGAACATCTTATGTTCTGTAATGCAGGGCATGTCGGGCTATCTTTTATACTGATGCGGTGGAGGTGCTTCTGAAGGAAATCATGGAATGTGAGCATTATAAAGCATGCCACGGCTTGTCCTCTAGGGATGACCTGCCACTTTCTTTGAGCAATCCACTCAATCGTTTCCCTTCAATTGTTTCCGCATATTTCTCCTTCAGTGAACTTTGGAGGGTCTGTTTTATAATTCTTTTCGTTGAATCCATGCCCAGAGGAATATCTGGTTGGATCATTCCAGAACCTATTCTGGCCAGTTTGTCAGCTTCATTATTTCCGTGGAGTCCGCAATTGCCTGGTATCCACTGGAAAGCGACTTCTGTCCCATTTTCCTTAAATCGGTTCAAATATTTTTTTTTTTTTTTTTTTATTAACGAAATTTACAGCTGTAATTAATAATAAATACAACAAGTAAATATGAACAAGTAATATGACATGTACAACATGAGGAGAAACTACCCATTGGTAGCACTCCAATTATTCAAATACAGATGGCATTTAGGGACATTTGGATTTATATTATATCCATTTTGGAGAGACAAAATGGCTGCCTGTGAGTCAACAAAGAAAGCAACTTTCTTGTCTTTCCGTTCAATTAATCTCTCAAGGCCTAAGAGAATGGCTTTCACTTTGGAAGAGAATGGCCCTTCAAAGTTTGTGGCTACCTTTCTGACCGGGGCAGCAAGTTGAAACTCCTTTGAATAAACTCCAGCTCGGGCATTTTTGCGTGCTTCCAGTGCAGAACCATCAGTATATACATGGAGCCATTCTGTCTCTGGGAGTCGTTTTCCGATGGTTTCTAGGGTTATAGCCTTTTGTTCGTAAATTAGTGTTGTACCCTTAGAAACATTCTGAAGAAGATCAAAGTGAACTACATATTGGCTGGTGAATGAAACTTGTGTCAATGACGGGAGAGGCTCCCTTTCAGCTAACTCTAGTCCTTTTCTTTGGATCAAACCTTCCACTGCCTTAGTAAAAGTAATTTGTGTTTTAAGGCGTTCAGGTGCGGGTTCATAGGTACTCCAGTAGCTGACCTTAAGACGTTTTAACCTTTCATAGAGCGTAATGGCCAGTTGCTTCTGGTGTGTCTCAAGAGGTACTATGCCTGTTTGTAATTCTAGCACAGAGATTGGGGTTGATCTGCTCCCTCCTGTCACGAGTCTAAGGTCTTGATTCTGGATTATGTCAAGCTTGTGTAATATCGCGTCCGAAGCAGTGATAACAAGTTCTGTTCCATTTTCAATAACAGGGCGGACATATGTTTTGTAGGCAAGAGCCATAACATCACCCGTTGCTTCCCATTTTGAGCCACCTAACCTCTGTATTAACGAAAGTCGTGTTGAAGCCTGTTCTATTTGTTTTTCAATGTGTTTACTCCAAGAGAGTCTTTTATCGAGTTTCACTCTAAGATATGTAGCTTCTTCTGTACGTTTGAGTTCCTCATTATTATGGTTCAAAATTATCTCGTGTGATTTGGTAGAGAGGATAAAAAGTTGGAATGCCGTCTTTTCGGAATTAACGATCATCTAGTTTTCATTGGCCAACTTCTCTAGTAATTTCAGTACTTGCTGCATGTGCTTTTCTAGCTCTTTAAAGTCACTACTTGTTGCCCAAATGATGAGGTCATCTGCATACAGCAGAGCATTTGTACCCGGAATAGTTTCAGTGAGTTCCGTGATATCATCAATCATGATGTTAAACAGGAAGGGACTCAGCACCGAACCTTGTGGGAGGCCTTGTTTTGTTTGGCGATATGTCGAGACAATGTTTTTATACTGCAGCCTTATAAGCCTTTGATGTAAGAAAGAAGATATAGTCTTGAGCAGATATCCTGTAACTCCCTTGTCAAGCTTACTCACCAGCTTCTTTCTCCATACTCTATCTTATATATTAAAATCTACGAATATTGCCAGGATGCTCTGTTTTCTTTGGAAGCTGTTTCTTATTTTTTTTGTTAGACGAGCAACTTCTTCAATAGTGTTTCGATTTTTCTTGAAGCCAGCTTGGTTAGAAGATATTAGATCATTTCTCAAGTCTTTCTGCAACGATTCTCTCGTAGAGCTTGGAGAAAGTACTTGTTAATGCAATGGGTCTGAAATTTTCCGGTATATCTCCTTTTTTTCCTCTCTTCAAGATTGGTACCACTTCTGCTTTCCTCCATTCACACGGAGAATATGTGTTTTCCAGACAGCATTTAAAAATGTTAGTACTGTTTCTTTGGCCATATCCCCCAGGTGTATAAGAAATTTCGACAGTATGTTATCTGGGCCTACTGTTTTACCTTTCTTAGATTTAGTGAGAGCATCATTTAGTTCTTTGGATATCTCCCCAGAATAGTGTATAATCTTCTTCACTCATTACACAATAATGTGTGGAGTTTGTGGCTGGATTTCCGTTTTTTTTTTTTTTTTTTTTGGCTTGTAATTGCTTACTTTTGAATAGTGTTTGCAGAAGGAGTTGGCTATTTCTTTTAGCTTGCTTATTGTTTTCCCATCGAAAGTTATTGGATGGTTTGCTAAGTTTGATTTATTATTTATTTTTGAAAGAAATTCATGTGCCTTAACTCCATCTTTTCTAAAGTCCATTTTCTCTAGGAATGTTTTAAATGAGTTTTGTTTAGCTGAAATAACTTTTCTTTTAAATATAGCTGTTTTCCTTTTAAGTAAACTTATAATTGCATGATTTTTGGAGCTCTCAGCCCTTTTTCTAAAATTATCTCTTTCTTCTTTTAGCTTTTGCAGTTCTTCATTCCAGAAAGGACGGTATTTTCGTATTGTTCCTAGGGGAATAGTCTTCAGGGCACACCTATATAAATTTCCTTTTATATTAGTATATGTTTTATCTATGTTACCGTTTAAGATTAATTTATCAGTGATGAGTTCATCTGTCAATTTTCTGAAAAGCTTCCAGTCTCCTTTCTTTAAATTCCATCGTGGCAGTTGTGGTTCCTTGGTCTTACTATTATTATTTTGATTCAGGTTCAAGTTAACCACAAGGATATTGTGTCCGAAACCTGCTATAGCTGGTAGTAGAGTATGCTTTATGTTATCAGAGATTGAGGTGTGCACCAATACAACATCAGGGCAGGAAGTACTGCCAATGAAAGAAAGAAAGGTAGGACGTTTTGTTTCATTTCGAATATATTGTGCAGGGTTTAAGTTAAGGAAATCTTCAAATATTCTGCCTACAGTATCAGTGTTATTATATCCCCATATAGTGGAAGGGGCATTCAGGTCTCCATATAGTATACTCTCTTCATTCCAGTTCCTTTCCAACCATGTGAGGTCTGGTCTGTTTTGAGGAGGGTTATACATTACAAATATTCGGAACTGATGCTTGCCATACCACAAATTTGCTTCCAGAGCCTCGGATTTATCATTCACATCTTGCTGTTTCCTAATTTTCATATCCGTAACAATGGATGCCTTAACAGCTAGCATAATACCAGATGCAACTTGCCTTGCTCTTGGTAGGAAATATGTTTGGTATCCCTGAATTCTGTGCATATCAGGTTTTTCAGTTGCCGCTCCTGCTTCGACGATCGCGCATAAGTCTACATCACTTTCTGTCACTATACGTTTCAATTCGGTGAATTTATCTTTGGTTAAACCGCCTGTGTTCCAAAAGATAGCTTTGAGTTGAGCCTAAGTCTTTAGAAAGCTTGCGAGCATTTGGCCGTTTTTGAAAGGGCCTGGGCATGTTTTGCTTCGTATATTGGGCTGAATTGGCGATAAATGTGATCGTTTACTTACCGTGTTTACAGATTATTCAGGAGGCATGAGGACTAACTGCCCGGACGAGATCACTTCACCCTTTAAATAGTTTTTATTTTATTTTATAAAAATACAACTTTTTTTTACTTCCATACTCAGTTCTGAGGTTGGGCCCAAGCATGAACAATTATATAATTTTAATAATAAACGCTTCATTCTCTCTGCACAATGAATGATGGTAAGAGGCGAATTTGGTTCTTCTAGGTAACCAAAGTGGTAGAAAGAACTTGATTAAAAAATATGGAAGACAAGAAAGTGAACCAGAAGATTTGTAAAAATTCATTTAAGAAATGAGGAAGGAATCACCAAAATCTCAGAAAAGAAAACAAGGATAATGATGGAAAGATTACTTCACAGTCCAGAGGACTAACAAAAACGTGGTATAAAACATACCTCTGCAAACTTTGGTGACACAAGATAGTTGGACAGATTCTTCTGGTTCTACTATCGGCATTATCAGAGATGATCAAAAACTATATTAAGTAATATATATTTTACTCTAATACTGGTTCTGTCTGAGTACCGAGGAATTTAATCACAACTTCTGTTTATGATTGATGATCAACTCTAGTAGTGATTAAATCTGAGTAAAATACTCGGTGATTGGAGCAGTTTTTGCCTATCTCGGTATCAACTAATCAACATTTTCACTTACCTAATTCTTGAAAGCTGCACCCACATTTTTCTACGGGATGATAAGGTTAGTCCAACTTTAATTTCTCCATATAGAGAGCCATATCCTATGGTCTTCAGGAATGTCATATAACCAACCACAAGTGGCCTGAACATTTTCATAACAAGAGACAAAGAGAAACCTGCTTATATATTCTCAGAACATCCTGACATTCCTGTTCCAGCTTTGTATATTATGAAACAACAGCAGACATAAAAAGCCAGAAACCACTATGACAGAATAAATGTGTCTGTTTCTACCTGTATCCTGTTCGCACCAGAAGCATGAGTAATACACGTTTATTCGAACAATATCGTTGAAACTGGAGGGAAATCAAGGTGATGTTATCAACTTGATCTATTCTTGCGTCTTATCTATTGTACTTATCCCTTATCTTATGTTTGTTATCTTTTATCAAGATGCTCATCAAGCTTATGGCTTACAAGAATTATTCTTGGTATTTCAGACCACTACAATGCTTTTATTTTATTAGTACTGTTTTTAAGGAGATTTGAGTATTTTTAATTTCATGAAATCTTAAAATTAAACCAAAGAATAATTATTTATATATTTAATCAAATAAGTAAAAAAAAATACCTTTTAATCTATGTATACTAGTTAACATCTGATCCAAATTTTTGTCTATTACGTCCTGAGCTTTAGATTCAAGAACAGTGTTTTCATCATTATCATATAACCCTCTAATTTTCAAGCCTAAAAACAAAGATGATTAACAAACTTGTAAAAAAGAACTATTATTATAATTCTCATTATGTATATATATATATATATATATATATATATATATATATATATATATATATATATATATATATATATATATATATATATATACATATAATCAACTCATAGATAGAATTTATAACATGTCTGAACATTCACCTGCCCCGTTGAATTCATTATTATTATTAAATCAATTAAGTGATAGATTTCGGTATTTGGCTAGTGCTTCAGTTAGACTATTGATGTTTGTAATTGGCCTCAGTTCTTGATTAATTCTAAGAATTTTGATCAGTTCATGTATTCTAGGCACTCAATTTGTTATTTATAGTATTTTTATAAATAAAACCTTTTTTATTTATTTTTTTTTTACTAGAGTATTTATTTTTTATTAGATAATTCTTTGAAAATTTTTTATGAGGTATAGAACAGAGGAAATATATAGTTACCAGAAGGCCTCGACAGAGCGTGTTCATTATAGAGGATTAAGATGACTTATTGGATAAAGGAAGATGTGTAGGATGACCTTAAGTGTCAGGCGGAACAGCACCCAATCACTCTTGGTCTGCGGTGTAAAGGATCAAACTTAACACTCCGCAAGGATGGTAACCACAACTGGAGGGATCAATCTCCAGACTTGTGGGAAGATGAAATATTAACGAAGGGACCAATTTCCTGACTTAGTATATAGGAATACAATTGGATGGATCAACATCCAAACGTGCATGGAGTAAGAGAAGGGGAGAAATGGGTAGGGTAACGGGAGGTCTAGAGAGGGAGATGGGTGCGGGAGTCTCCCCCACTCTTTGCAGAACAATTGAGCATCAGTGTCCTACCCACTGCTAGTGAGTTCCTAGATCTCCTTATCCCTATCAACGCCTACTGTCACATCCATGTGGTGCCCCCGGGGAGTCCGATGGGACTCACGGAAGACAGAGGCGGTTCATCGCTTCCATCCATATATATGTGTGTATATATATGTGAGATGGATGCGATGAACCTGTTAGGCACCCAAGCTAGGTTCAGGAGTTCGAGCTGAGGCTGAATGGCAGAGTGTGGGTGAAAATATACTGTCTTGTATCGACTCACTTGGGGCACCAGGCGACACCCCATTTCACAATACCTGGCTGTAGGAAGAGGAGGAGTACCTACATTCTATTTTCCCTCATACTTGTGGGAACAACATGCAGGATCAACAGATTCTTCTTCCTGACCTCTCAGGGGCTTTTCTTGACATTACCCTTGATGATGTATCGATGGGAGACACCTTTAGATCTCCCACGGCTGAAGTCGAGGGACTTCAAGTTTGTTATGAAGGCAAGGAGATTAGGAGGGTTACCACAGCCGAGGCTGTAGCTGTTGCCCGACCTCCACAAAATCTTCAAGAGATAGGCCTATAAGCAGGCCTGATGGAATCAAATATTCAGATGGTAGGCGGTGGACTTGCATCGAAAAAAGCAGTCCCTGCCACACTGAAACAATAAAAAACAATGAGAAGGCGACAAAGGAGGTACAGAATGGCTGCCAAAATCATTCTAAAAACACATCCAAAATCAGGACCTACATTAGGGCACTCAGCTAAGGATGTCTCTGTTTCAAGGCCACAACAAAAAATCATGGAGCCTAGTGGTGGGCGGGAATCTAAGGGTGCAAGGGCCAACGGCAAGGGTCCGGCGACCAAGGCTGAACTGCCTGCTGCAAAGGCTCCAAGAAGACACTTTATCCAAATGGAGCCGCCCTCTGAGCCACCAGCTAAAGACGTAGAGGTCTCTCGAGACACTGCGCCTAAGGCTGAGGAGGCCCTTGGGCTAGCCCCAAAGACGGAAAAAAGGCAAAGAACCTCACAGGGCAACACGGCACCTACTGCCAAGAAATCCAAAGAGGCAGTAACCAAAAGCTATGCCTCAGTCTAGAGAGGTCAGCTGGTTGTGGTGGTTCCTACGAACTATCCACTAGCCATGCTTGACCGCGAAAAGGTAGAGGCACTAAAAGAACTCATCACCGACAAGGTGGATGAGCTTGAAGAACATGGAGAGTACCACCCACTTTTTGATGGCATAGTACAAAATGGGGGGAGGTATTGTCACATGTATGAACAACGAAACATGCACTTGGCTGGCTAAAATCATTCTGAGCATTAACTTAGCAGAGGGAATTATCTTTCGCACGGGGGATGCTCAGGAACTCACAAAAACCTCCAAGATAAGGGCCTTCTTTCCAGGGAGGGTACTCACTGAGGAGGCTCTAATGGAGAGACTAAGAATGCAGAACACCACAATTGAAGGAGTAAATGAATGGTATTTGCATTACCTAAAAGAAATGGAGATAGGAATCTTTACCATTGTCAGAATCCCGTACTCAAGCTTAGAAAGCCTCAAGTAAGAAACATGGCATGAAGGCTGGTTACAGCTGGTGCCGTGTCTCTTTTGAAGTACTAAAAGAATAAAGCAAAGATGAAACCTCAATGCCACAGGAAGAGGAGATTCTGGAAGGAATTGAGGTTAAAGCTCCAAACTACTGCGGCTCAGAGGACCTGCCAGCAATTAGACACCTTTCTAGTCGGAAGGGAGCCGGTTGCGGTGCGGGGGAGGGAGGCAGGGTGAAACCAGATGGGGGAGCGGAAGCTCTAATGCCTGGTGAATCTCAACCATCCTCGTCAACTGTGAGGCTGGCCCCTGGAAGAATAAGTAAGGCAAAGGGAATTGAGTCCTGTGGTGAACCAGAAGGAGGGAAGATGCTGCAAGACAGTGAAAAATGTCTCCTCCAGTAAAATCCTGCCACTGGAACCACCGGATAACCAACCCTCTAATACCTTTAATATACGAAGTTTTGGGCAATGGGCACAGGAGGAAACCGGAGGCGGGATTAATCCCAAAGACTCAGTCAAGGCTGGGTCTGAAGGTGAAAGCCTGGCAGTCTCCACCCGGGAGTCAGTCCAACATGTCCACCGACTAACTTACTTAGATGAGGCTGTTGCAAATCAATCTACACCACTGCACAGCTTCTACAATATATCAAAGGTGAGGATATTGATATTATATTAATCCAAGAACCTTACCAAAGTAATAATATGATTAGGGGGTTGGGAATCAATGGCTTTGGAACTATTTCTGTTGCCACCAACCCCAGGGCCTGTATTCTGTATAAAAATTCACTAAAATTACTGCCTTTTTGTTCTAGAGATTGGGCAGCAGCCAAATTTACTACATCAAGAGACAAAAGGACGCTAACCATAGTAGGGTTACCTGCCATATGAGTCCGGAGTTCCTGCACAAGATATAGAAAAAATTCTAAATTCCAACAATGAAAACACCCTGATGGGACTGGACATTAATGCCCATAACATCATATGGGGCAGCAACAATAACAACTCCAGAGGTGAGATATTGATGGATTTTATTATTAGTAATAACTTACACATACAAAATAGGAGCAAAATCCTATCTTCTTTAACAAACTAAGGTCAGAGGTCATAGATATAATGTTGGTCTCCAGTCAGGTCACGTCAAAAGTACATAACTGGCATGTATCAGATGAAGAAACATGTTCAGACCATAAATATATCAGATTCGACGGGTCTGACAATAATAAAACTATAGAATCGTTACTGAGAATAGAAAGAAAGATACTGAGAATAATAAACGAGCCAAGAAGAGTTGTGGAAGAGTACCGATTAAAAAATAACAGCAAGCTTTATGAAAATATTGAAAACTCAATGAGAAAAAAGAGAGTTCTTTTGGCATATGAAGAGAATGAATTGGAATAGGTTAAACAAACTAATATTCAGTAAAGTGATGGGTCTGAAGAACATAAAAGGTTATTCGGAACAAACAAATTATAGAAATTTAAAGTCTACTAACTGGAAAGAGTACTTCTCATACCTAGAGGAGGCATCCAAATGCTGTCTAAAAAAAATAGATAACACTTGGCAGCTAGAATGCCTAAATTCATCTTTAACAGATGCAATTAGAAACTTATATCTGAGCAGTAATGATATCCAAAAGAAGGGTATCCTGGTGGAACAAGGATTTAAAGAGGCAAAGAACACCCAAGAGAAGGTTGTTCAATGCCGTAAAAAGATATGGCAACTGGGAGGTTTACAGGACAGCCCTCACAGAATATCATAAATCTGTGAGGAAAGCCAAAATACGGTCTTGAAGGAACTTCTGCCAAGATATTGACAATACTCTTATGGCAAGTAGGATAAAAAAAATAGTTACTAAACAGAAAGACCAAGGAATACTGGGTACACTCACGGTCAAAGGCAAACATACTGCTAATGAGCTGGAAACTCTGAGGGAACTGGCAATAGCACACTTTCCTGGATGTAAGACTATGGAAAAGGCCTGTACAGACACTACACTCCCTAGCTATATAGCTAATCGAGAGGGGTGGATTAAGGCTAGAAAAATTGTTATAGCAAACAGACTGGAATGGGCTATAAACACACAGTCTCCCTATAAATCGGCAGGTTTGGATGATATCGTACCAATACTGATTCGAAAAGGACTTTCAATAATTAAACCCTATCTCTTAGAGCTATTAAGGGGCAGTATAGCATTCGGGTACCTTCCTACAGAATGGAGAGGATACAAACTGTGCTATATTCCAAAACCTGGAAAAGGAACATATCATGATCCTTAGTCTTTCAGGCCAATATGCATGTCATCTTTTCTAATGAAGACATTGGAGAAGATTTTGGACAGGCACATAAGAGAAAAATTAGTGAACGCTAATTCGTTACATTTCAATCAATTTGCTTACCAACCTGGTAAATCATGTGAAGCTGCATTACATAACCTGGTATCAAGGATTGAAAAATCCATGAATCAGAAGGATATAATGACTGATATCTTCGTAGACATAGATGGTGTTTTCGATAGAACTTCTTACAAAACTATCATGCATACTTTAAGGATAAGAAAAATAGATCCACTTGTCACCAAATGGATTGACAACATATTGGATACACG